CACCACCCACCGCCACCATGGAAGAAGCTTTAGAGGATTTCTTAGCTGCCTATGAGAAAAAACCAAATTGGATCGAAAACCTTATCTATATAATTCGAATTTATAATGCAAAAAATGACAAGGTTCTGAATTTTTTTAGCACTTGCCGTGCATTTATACAACTGAAATATCGGAAGTTACAGGAACATGTCAAGAAGTACTGCAACAAGCTTCTTGCTATCACACCAACGGACGAAGATGAACGCGATTGGCTGCAGGAGGCTAAGAAAATTCTAGCCAAATGTTAGCAGGTTATTATATGCATTCAATCATTGGAATAAATAAAGATATGTATTTTTGAATGAGCAATGTTTGACGCCCTTGATAATAAAACAAGTTACTTAGCTTATTTTAAAGTCGCGACAACTCTCACTTCTTCAAGAATTTGAAAGTAGGCCAGATATATGGAAGTCAATTTCTTTAACTCAGTCATTAGTTAATCCCGAGCTAAAATTGCGCCATAATTGACATTAGATATTGTTGTCGCGTTTTTTTGTTGCTGTTTACTCCGTGAGGGGGAGGGTACATACTAGGTATGCACTCTCTGCTTTTAGCGTGCGTTTGTCTGACGATGTTAGACTGGTGCCGGCGCTACACCTAAGCGCTGCCCATTTGAGGCCTTAGCCCGCCGAGCCGATTCCTTTTCATCTACTATGTGTCACTGGAATGCTTCGTCTTCTTACTTGTATTGTATGCTGAGTAGTACCTCTATTCTTATGTGTGAGGGTACGTATGCTGTCTAACCTCCAGAGATTGTAAAACCATGCCCCACCCATTGATGTTCTCGTGCCTTGTATCACTAGCCTATACATGTGTGCGATACAATTGTTCGCTGAACGTAGTTTACTTGCGGAACGCTCTGTCCACTAAATCTTAATCTACTGCCAAGAGTTGGTTTGTAATATCAATAAAGCCACTCCTGTGTGGCTTTGTGAATCGTGAAACATAACACGAAGACTGCCAATATTCTCTCCTCTGTAAAAGTACCATACACTAAGAGCAGGAGTGGGCTCAACAAGCCCGTTACTAGCGTCAAGAAAGTAGGAGTCCCCCAGGCACCTTGGTGGATACCGGCAATGCCTAGATAGGCCGACGTGTGCCGAACCTGGCAAAGCCTTGCTGTTGCCTCTAACGGAAATGCCGATCCTTTCTCTTTGTTCCTTCGCGTATATGCGACGGAACGTCACATCTGTGTTCGTCGACTTCCACAATCGTTTCCTGCCGACAATGCTGACGGCCGGCTATAGACGTGTAGTGAGCGAGCAGTATTTGTACTTGAAGTATCATCGTAGAACCGATGATTCCTTGCTCTACCATAACTGACCTCTTGTGTGGGGGCGGGCATGCCTACCTTATACTGGGAGGTCCCTCACTCACTCTTCTACACGCTTAGACCACCTAAGGTCATACTCGTTGTTCTCGGTACAGTAATCGCAATAAACACTGAACCACCGATCTTTCGTGTTTCACATTTCTCATTGCTTCATATACGGGCCCACCCTTCGCCCAAGAGTCTCAACACCCCCTCATAGCGGTGGAGCCAAGAGAATGCGCGAGGGGACCGTGGACCCTTCGGCAACGACAACTGGCTACCTACAAAGTCATACAAACTCGTCACGTGATGTGAAGAGGTAGAGTAAAATTAAATGGCTCTTGTCCCACTAAACGAACCTAGTTACAATGTTCCGGTATATATCAAATTCATTTGTCTGCAGTGGAGTGTGTGTTTTGAAGCCGCTAGGTGTGGACTACTAGAAATTACCATTGCGAACAACGTTAAGAATAATAAATTCTCTATGGTAGATGGGCGAAGCA